CCCGGGGGAGGGGGAGCGCGCCTGGCTCTGGGGGGCAGGCGGGCGCTAGACCGCTGAGTACCGTCGGTTCTCCCCGGAGCAAGCGAAACTCTGCGCAATCGGCGAGCAACTTGGTCGCGGCGTGTTTGCGCGGCCACCGCGCCCGCCTGTCCCGGGCAGGGGAGTGTCAGGCTCGCGGCTCCTGCCCACCCGGGACACAGAAGATGAGATCCCGGTGAGACCGAGAGGGGCAGCCGAGGCACCCCCACCGCCTGCGCGGGAGCCGCCCAGGGGGGAGCCCCGCGTCCGTGCGCAACCTACAAAGACCCTGGCGAGAAGGGCTGCACAGGAAATTCTCCGGTCGGAGCCAAACCGACCCTCTTCCTCTGACACAAACCTACACGCAGTGTAGATTGTGCTGAATTCCTTCTTCTGTCCGTCAGTCTTTCAAAGTGTCCCTCGTGGTAGAGTAATAATTTTTCTGAGTGACAGGGACTCCTTGGACGTATCAATCACCTTCCCTGTGATCAGGAAGTGAAACCATAATCGTTCCTATTTATCTGATTTTTGTTTTCAGCCAGGCCCACCCAACTAGGTAAACAACATCAACACATGGAAGAGTGCCCTGCATCGTGTTACAAAAGATCTCCAGCAGGACCTTACAGAGCAAGGGTCAACCAGTTGACACAAAGGATTTGTGCCCTTTAGAAAAAGAGGGACTTTGTATTTTCCTTTTCTTTGAAGTCAAGTATGCATTTATACAATGGGGACAAAGTAAGTCCAAGGTGCACATCAGTTTAACACTGGGATTACTGCACCAATTAGCAAACATTTCTTTCTACACAAATACGGGAGCATCTTCATAAATCATCTCTCTGGTCTCTACTTAGAAAATTATGTCAAACACAATACCTCAGAACAGTGATGTTTAAAGAAGAAACCCCTTTTACACCCTGATTTCTTTGAGTAGGTCGGCTAAAGCTCATATTTTAAAACTTGTAGTAACCTACACTTCTGTGCATGCACATTTATAATATTTCTTCTGTGAGTTTCTTTTGCAAGTTGAATGAGTCCTGCATGATCATAGTTTTTAAGTGATAAAAGGTAGGTTTGTCAGGATAATTTCAGCCTTCAAAATGTACACGTTTCATTTATCAAATCCCTACAGTGAATATCACGACTATTAATTATAGCATATAGGAATCAATGTTTGTTTCCACAGTGACTTATTCTTAGTATAGATATTACACTACTATTCCTAACATTGAAAATCTATCCTGTTAAGTACTTACAATAACAGAGTCATACAACAGAACTGGACTTCAACCTTCACATTTGACAGATAAGCAAACCGAGGCCCAGAAAGTGACTTTCCTAAAGTCACATCTTTAGCAGCAAAGCTGGTACCAGGATGCAAATCTTGAGTCCTGGTCCAGTCATCTTGCCAGTGCTCCTCATGTCAATTTAATCACCAAGATGTCTTTACTCAGAAAGGAAGAAAAAGGAAATAAAAGAATCTTTATTGAAAGTTATATTCCAGGCATCAGTGCAGACCTTTCTCTGAAACACTTCAAGGTTCACATTATTATTCTCATTCTTAGATTTGAGCAAACTTAGTTGAGTTCCAGTGAGTTTATGTTTCTTGCCCAAGGCCACTTTCTAAGTGGTAGATCTGCCGACCTGAAAAGTTCATTCGTGCTCCGTTACCCTGCATTCCCTTCATAACGCAGTTCAGTAAAACATTTCTACTAGGAGATCTAGAGCAGAAACAAGCAACTAATGGAGAGTAATATCCATTTTGGGGGAAATGTTCAAGTTAACATTTACTATAAATAATGCCATCTGTACATGATGGAACATGACGAGAAATTATGGGTCAGATACTCTTTACATCCTGAGATATTTTCCTTTATCTTGCCAAGTGCGTTTCTCTAGCCAGCCAACGTTTGTCATTCCTTACAGTGATCTTCCATAGACATTACAACTCTTGACCAGGTGGTCCTACAGGGCACTTTCTCAGGCAGACTCAACTGCTCAGAACATGGACAATGCTGGAAAGCTTTATGGTGCATGCTTTACTTTACTTTGACTTGTAACATTATTGTTTAGAAAATGAAACACTTATTCAGGCTATCAAATAACTACAATGAAATGACACCCCTGAATATCTTTTTTCTTTCTCTAAGGCATATTTTCACCTCTAGCTATCTATAATAGAGAAGAAATTAAAAGGAAAGAATACTAGGTGCATTCAGAGCAGAGTCTACAGCTATATTATTTCTGTGTAACTGTCCTTGAGCTCTCTCTCTCTCTCTCATTCTGTGTGTGTGTGTGTGTGTGTGTGTCTCCCTCCTCCATCTCCCTCTCCCTTTCTTCCTCCCTCCCTTCCTTTCTTTTATCCAGAAAAAGAGAATGAAAGAACAGTCATTTCTGATTTCCCCATGTCTGACAAATCATCAGACATTTTTGAATGGGAAAATATATTTTTTCAGCTTTTATAACCAAAACTGTGTTAGTCCATTACACTCAAGTCTGAATCACACAGTAATTCAAGTATCTTGTGCACCCCCTTTAAATCCTGTCCTTGTACTGGGGACGGATGTTCTGTATGTAAACCCCACAGTTCGGGTGTAGATAAAGCAAGACCTTCACTCCTGGTGCTGGTGTCTACGAGAAACCAGAAGCCAGAAGCTACGTGCCTTGCTTCCTTGCCTTGATCTTGTCTTGAGGAACTTGGCTGAGGTCAGGGGCAGCCAGCCAATGACTTGAAGAAGAAAGGTGTCGTTGGCAAGTGGGTCTCCAGGGAATTTCATTATCTTCATCTAAACCTCCATCTGAAGGCCTTGGGGATCGCATTTCAGTCTTCTCCTTTTTTATTGATCAGGTGAAGTGTTCTGAGACATGGTATTATCTGTTGCTGCACTCAGGATGACAAGGTTTCAGTCCCATCCCCACTCAGACAACAGAGTTCACATTTCAAGTCCCTGATCTGGCTGATCCTAGGTACAAGCAAATATCCTCTCTGGGTGATGAAAGAACGTGACAAATTAAAAATGCACCTTTAATGAACTCCAAAGACCCTAGAAAAAGGAAGTCAACCCTCTAAGGTTGCTTCATTTTTAAAAAGCTTTTTTAAAATTTACAGACTAGGAAGAGACATTTTATCCAACACTTTACACCCTCTTTGGTTTTTCAGAAAATGCAGAAGTAATGTAAGGTTTTTATTGCTTTCTTTAAAAATTAAAAGAAACCATTCAAAAGGCAAAGTGTGATGACAATCTCATTACACTTTAGCCTGAAGTGTATAAATCACTTAGAGAAATTAAACACAGACAAATATCCTTGAAAGCCACAAAAAAATTGAATTTTTTCCCAGAAATCAGATACTAAGGCTTTGCTCCCCAACCCCCAAATCAAAATGTTACAGTAACATGTTTCTTTCAATAAAAGATTTTTTTCTATCTGTGCTGTAAATGTCTTGTTCATGGTTAGGCAGATTTCTCCAGGACTTAACTGGAAGACCATCTACATCACGCCGGAACTATGCAAGCCAAGGCCAAGTTCCAACGTGGGGTGATGGGAAAAAGGCTGGGCTGCCGAGAGGAGATGACTTCATTAGGGAGAAAGAGGCTCTCTGATTCGGTCCACACGGCAGCCAAATGGCTCAGCACATCTGCACTCACCCCTGGGAGGCCGCCTGGAGCAGAGTGTCAAAACTGCCATCGTTTTTATAAAGAAAATGATGGAGGCATGAATAAAGCAGTCCCACCAAATTGAATCGAAGGTAGCATCAACCTGACTCCTCTTCTTAGTCACTTTCTCAAACGCTTTTCTTTCCTCCCCACAGCCTGAACAATATAGGTCATGGTTTATAAATGATTTGGCTGAACCATGACAAAATGAAGAATCTGCTTTCTGAACGCAAGGAAGCGGCAGAGATCTTGGAATCTGTGTGGCAGCACAGAACAATGCAGAGACTTTCTTAAGAGGCAAAACTTTTGCAGTTGCTGTTTATTTTCAGGGAGTACCAGACCCGATTTATTTAATTAGAGCACAACGGGACCCAGGGAAAGTCGCTTAAGGGAAGCACCAGGGATGGTGCAAAAAGCCACCGTGGCACCATCGGCTTCTCTGGGGAGCAAAGGCAAGGCAAGACAGGAAACAAGGAAACTCTACATAGTGAGGAATGTTTAGAGGACTCCAGGACAGGTATCAGAACAGGGTGCAGAAACAACAAGCAGGCATTTCATTTTATTCTGTCAGTAAAAAGAATTGCAGGA